CCGGAGGCTAATTAAAGCGGTGAGCCTGGGCCCAGCAGGGTCACGCTCATCTTCACAGGATGCTGCACGAGATACGGCAGACAGTGCCGTGGAACTTAATGAACTGACAGAAAGTTAATCGTTACCGTGGTTACAGGCTGGCTCCAAGTAAAAGTTTCGGTGTCCAGAACATGCACGTGGTCGTTCCACCCTCTCGGAAGGCCTGAATTCTTTAAAAATAAGCAACAAGTTTTAATAAGCACTAATCAAATATTGAAAGGTGAAATTGAAATTACTCTAAGGTTTACTTACCCAAAAAGAGGTTTCATCAAATTCAAAAGTTCCACGTTGTTTCCCTTCAGGAAAATAACCATAGCCTCCAAAAAATATCAGCCTGAAACAGAACACCCATCAAGACCTATGAGAAAAGCGGTCACACCTCTTGGTACCCATTAAAGTTCAGTGTTCAAACAGAAGACAGCAAAACCAAGGAAGCTCCTCTGGCTTCATTACTTCCAATATCTCTAACAAGACAAGTTTTCCAGGCGTGGGGCCCTGCTCCTTGCCTAATCGACCCTACCACCCACATTGAATCCCTCTGCGGCTGTTTCCCAGCCTCGGGCTTCCACGTTTTGCTCCCGTTCCAAAGGTGTGAAGCTGGCAGGCCCGCTGCCCGCGCTGCAGCCCCCGCTCCCACACAGCAGCTACAGGTGTTTATTCCTGCAGTTTCCTGCCCCTACCCTTCCCAAGCCTTCTGCCCATTTTCCCGAAGCCCAAAATGTTGGTGGACACTCCTGCAAGAAGGGAAAGCACTACAGCTTGGGCACGGTCACCATGGAGACGCGTGCTAGCGCAGGGCAGGGGCAGACCAAGGCACGCTACATGCCACAGACCCTCTACCAATGAGGCCAACTGGGACGTTTTTAGGCTTTTTGGGGGGAAAAGACCTTTTTCTTGTTGCATTTTGTGTCAAAGCCTGAAGAATGGTTGCTACGAACAGTCATTCATCTGTTTTTGCTGGGTTTGGGGGTTTTTAAAATTTAATTTAAGCTTTATGTTTGGCTTTTAGCACTTATTAGGAACAAATGGCATGGTTTTATGAAGTCTCACTGAATTGTGAAAGAACAGAAAACAACCCACCCAAACGCCTGGGCAGTTACCGAGCTGAACACCCGAACCCCAGCCTTGCACAGATGTGCAGCTAAACTGACCACATGAGCGACAGAACAGTGAGCTTTCTCCCCACCAGAATGTGAGAACCAGCAGCATGGGCCATTTCCTATTTTTCCTGAGTCTCCACAGCGAATATCCTACCAGGGAGCTTTCTCTCCACGCGGCAGACAGAGCAGCACAGGCAGCGTCAGACACCAGAATCCCCACACACGGCTCGAACACCCGGACACGCAGCCCCCCGACCTCCTCTCCCTCAGCAGAGGCGACAGTCAGGGCCAGCTGTGCTAACAGGCAGCACACGGCCGTGCTGTCCACGTACGGCTCTGTGGGCCACAGCTTACAGCCCTACCCTGGCCTGACGAGACAGTAAAACCCTCTAACCCTTGCCGGCTGTGGCCAGAGAACTAGATGCCTCTGACCGTCACCTCACGTTCGCATCAGGCCTCCTCAGCCCCTGGCACCTCTGCCGCCTGCGGAGAGCCCCGCTCTGTGGCTTCGGCCTTGCCAGCTGCTCCTGCGAGGGGACAATTCTGGCCGTGGGAGCTCTCACCTGCGCGCCAGAGCACGTTGGAGTTCTGTTCTCTGGAAGCCAGGAACCCGCTGCCCAACCAACCCTTGGGTGCTCCAAGAAGAGAGCCCGGAGTCCTTGATCTCCCTGAGATAATCCACTTCCATCCCCAACATGCAGAGCAGCTGGGATACAGCAGCCTGTGGAAGCAGGAACTACCAACCTACAATGGGGGCTCTCCCCCCGTCCGTCCTCCTGTGCCAGAAGGCTGGAGCAACCTCCCCGCACAGCTCCCTGCTCAGGGCACCAGCGCTACGCTGAGGGTGCAAGGCAGCGTTCTGCACATTAGCTCATCTGGCTTCAACCCTCTCCTCGTCTGCCTCATCTTTACCAAGGTCTGCAGCACCAAAAAGCCTTCGGACATCTCCAGGACACTATCCCAACACAAGCAGTTCCTCTACCACATTCCTTGTTCCGTGCAACCGGCACAAACCGCGCCGAATTAAGCGCATGTGTCACTGAAGGGGCCACGTGCAGGTGTAAGATGAAAGCGTCTTCCTGCTCTTCCGCTACCAAAGAAATGCAAACTGTCCCGCAGGACGTGACCGACAGACTGCGTTTTGGGTGACGGGGAATCCTAGAGCAGGCTTCTGTGAAGAGCAAATTCCAGATGCAAGCGGCAAGAGGAATGACGCCGGCAGGAGCGGCCCCAACGCCGTGTCGTTACGGCGAGGCAGGTTTGCCTGGAAGGATCCCACAGGCCGGACCGTGACTCGCAGCTGCTGCGCAGCTCGCGTACACCCCAAGTGGGAGCGGGGCTTTCCGCCTGTCAGCCGTTCAGGGATGGGGACGGGTTTGAAAGGCTGGCTGGGAAGAGACCCAGTACCCCCCCGAGGCACGCACACGCTGCAGAGCAGGGGCCCGGCCGCTCGCGTGCGGACGCGGCGACGCGCAAGGACGGCTGTGCTGACCTCGCCGCTGGAGCCTTACTTGTTTTTGTAAACCCACACGCCCAGCTTGTCCTTCGACGAAGGGGGTACCCCCTGACACTCCACTCTGACCCACTGCAGCACTTTGTCCGTGGATCTGGAATTTAACATGTAGAACTGTAGAAAATAAAAAGATTTTTTTTTACCCACAGAGCTTAAGTCTGATGTTAAAATATTAACTTTTAATCAGCGTGTATGGGCACAGAAATAAACCTGAAGTTCTCCTCCTAGCTGCACAGAGCGCTGACAAGGTTTGGAACGAAATATGGATCCAAAGATCCTTCTCTTTTTTGGAGACTCAAGGCCCAAACACATTTTACAAAAGCAACAGGACTATGGGCCTTGAGTTTTACCATCCAGAAGCTGAGATGGGAAACCATCAGGGTGTGTACAGAACAGAACACGTCTTACAGTTAAAAAAAAAAGTTTAATAAAAAAACAAAAGCGGGTTTTTTTTATGGTATTGTCCCCTCTGTGCATGTTACATCATTTTCCAAGTCTTCCAAGACTTCCATACAAATGGCTTTTGTTTGCACAAAATTCCCAGGTCAGCAGGTCAAAACAAGGACAAAATTCTGGTGTTCAGTGGCATGGTAAGAAATGAACATTTCCAGCCACTTCCCGCAGAGGGTGGGGAGCACTGGGACAGGTTGCCCAGAGAAGCTGTGGATGCCCCATCCCTGGAAGTGTCCAAGGCCAGGCTGGATGAGGCTTGGAGCAACCTGGTCTAGTGGAAGGTGTCCCTGCCCATGGCAGGGGGGTTGGAACTGGATGGGCTTTAAGGTCCTTTCCAACCCAAACTGTTCTGTGATTCCTATGATTTTACATGGAGAAAAATAGCTGATACACATACAAAAACTGAAATGTAAGAACGCCACAGCAGGAGGGAAGCAGGTCACACCTTATAAAATGCAGTTTCAGGGTGTTTGCAAGCATTGCATCCGGCTACTTTCACTTTATATTTAAGAGAGAGGCCAAAACTATTTAACTTTAACCCCACTTCCAGAGGATCAGAAAGTATCTATCGGTCTCCAGGGAAGAACGACATTTCAAACCACTACGGACTCACAAATCCCCTCCTGGTATTATTTCAGTGAACCCTGGGAACTCCCCAGAGCAGCAAACTCCCCAGCACCAACGCGATACCCTTCGTCGGGCGAGCTGCACAAGAGCAACCGCAGCCCGAGGAAAGGCGGCTCCCAGCACGCCGTCGTGGCGCGAGAGGGTGCGGAGCTGAAGGCTGACCGGGTTTACAGTCACGTTGTCTGCCCTGCTGCAGAAAGAAGGCACTGACCTGGGAAAAGCCAGGCATCTAACCACCCGCACGGAACAAAAAATAAACCCAGGCAGTAGGCCCCATGTCTTGTTGGCCCAAAGCCCTTGGGTAAGGCCAAAAAGAACACTCAGTTAGCTCACATCTGGGGACGCTGCTGGTTCTCTGCTTCCAACAACCAGGCACAGCCAGGAGATGAACACACTCGGCTGCGGAAGCCGCGGCGGGGGG